CTGTCGCTGACCAGAGCACCTTCGATGGTCCTCGCCGCTCCCTGACAGCCAAGCGCAAGACTCAGGGTGCCTGGACCAGCTTCGTCTTGTGGTTCCGGACTAGAATATTGCGGCTGAACAACATGGCCAAGCGCTAAACTTCTCTCTACATATCCTTCTACGCCCACTTTTGATCTGTCACGTCAACTTGCAGAGGACCCCTCTCGCAGGGGCGGATCCAACGCAACTGATGCCACATATCTCAACCATCACGGAACATGATACACAAGCGACCGCTTCCAGCATGATTAAGACAGATTCGATCATCATGACACGGGCAGACAGAACTTGTCACCTGCATTTTTCACATTCATCATATACCCCCAAACACCACACACCGCCTTTCACGCGCAATGCCTCCTTTAACGACATTGTCAGTGCCCTTTCAGAGGCTTGGGCACCTTTCATCATTATTTCACGCTCTCACATCCCACGATTATGAACGGCATTCACACGAAGTATCGGCATGGGCAGATGAGCAAAAAAAGAAAAAGGTTTCTATTTCTTTCGTTTTATATTATGGATCGGCATGGCGTTTTCGGAATCTTTTTCTCTCTCTCTCTGGCATGAGACACCACCACACATCACCTCCCCCAGGAAAAGGAAGGGAGGACACTCGCTTGGGTGCCGTTGGAAACGGCTTGGACAGACTTTGGAGGGCACCCCTACCTCGGCCCAAGGGCATTCAAGGAGGGACCTTTGGTTTGGGACGGCGTTTGGTTCGAGCGATCAAGCAAGCAAGCGAAATGGGCTCGTCTGGCCTAGAACAGGCAGACTGCTTCCCACAGTGGAAAGCCGGGCCGTATGTAGAAGTATAGAGTCAATGGATTGGCTCCTTCAGGTCACACTCGATTACCCCTCCTGCTCCCCATGTGATATTCCATGTGCGGAATGATGATGCTCCCCGCCGAGCCAGTTGCGGTGAGGCTTCATGCCGTCGTCCGACTACAAGCCATTCGGTAGACAAGCTCGTCTGAGGAGGCTCTTGTCGAAGCATTCCCGTCCGTCGCGCGCGCGTTAGCTCCAGAGCTTTGCCGTAGTGGGATGGCGGGGTAAATGTGTCAAAACACGAACGCTGACGCCCCTAGCGCCCACAAGCCGGGCCATCGTGGGAGTTTGTTGATCATGGGGGACCCTGGAATAGCAAGCGTCCCGTCGCGGGGCGCGTGTTTGAGCATCTTATCTGTTTTCCCGCGGCGAAACGGGTGACCTCGGCGCCTGTGACATTTCACAATCTAGGCGATGCAACCCCCATCTTGCGCTTTTACATCGTGGTATCTGCGGAGTAGGTAGCGTAGATCCCCCTTGCGAATAACACTGGAGCTATAACAACCCGGAAGGGAATGGACAGGTTCGTGGTGATAGTGGCTTGGCGGACGGGGTAGGCGCTAAGTGTTCTTCAGGTCGCGTGAGTGGTGTCCCAGACATCGCAGTCCGACCGACGGGAGATCGGCTGGATGAATCGACCGACCTGATGAGAGCTCAGGTACGTGTGTTCCGTAGAGCGGTCTGGGTCTTATCGATAGCGCTGACCTAAGGTAAGACTAGATTCCTGATGAACTAAGGCACCTGCCTCGGACAGAGGGACGAATGGATATCAGACCGCTTGCAGCGTTTTCTGGCGCTGGAGCGGTCTGCACGGCACGGAGACAGGCTGCGGAATGGATACAAATAGAAACTTGGAATCAGGGCATTTGGGGGCCAGCGATGGAAACAGCCGGGCTGCACATATCGGTGCATCATCTCCTTGACAGAGCCACCTCCCTCGTTCCTGAACGTGGCTGTTGTTGTATGAGGTGAGCATTATCTGGCCGTGCTGCACTGCCTGCCTACCTTACCTTACTTCCATTGCATCACACGCTTATTACCCAGAATATTCCCGACGGCTCGCACCACTTGCCATGCCGAGGCAGGAAGCTCCTGTGACGATGATCATCCCTGCATTACCTCGCTGGTAGGCTATCACACCTGCTAAAATATGGGGCTTTCAGCTGCTAGGTAAGCTCGTGGCTCAGTGCTGCGAGGAATGGAAAGGATAGAGCTTCCAGTGTCCTGTGGCTCCAGTGGGTCCCGAGTGCGTGGAAATGAGACGTGACGGGAGACGCTGGCGTCGCTCCCGTACCAAACATCGACAGCCAGATCTGTAGCAACCTATCTGTACCTAAGATAGTGGCGGGGATTCAGCAAGCTAAGAGATCTAGAGCCCCAAATCTGTTTCGTTTCATCAGACATTTTCGCCCTAAAGGCAGACAGCCCAAGCACTCGGAGAATCCCACGGCAACCCAACGTCCGTCCGTTCGCTGGTGAAGCAGAGACGACACAACCAACAGAGGGCAAAGCTCCAACTCTACCTCAGTCTCCCCCGTCCTAAGGTACCTCACCTCACCTTACCCCAAGCTCCGAAACTCTAAAGCTCCAGCCGAGCCTGAACTTCAAAGCTCCCGCCCCCAACGTCTTCCCAACGGCATCTGATGCCCGTTGCCTGAGCTGTTATAGCAGGAAGGGTCATTTCATCCTGTGTCCCGCCTCGCGGTGCATTTTCTTTCAGCCCCTCGTCCCCTTCTTCTCGTATCCCACGGTAGCTGCTTAACCGTCACCACAGCTTCCACCGCAACGTACGGGCGAGCCTGTCTGTAGAACGAAGGGACTATAGACTATACACAGCTTAAACCTCAATTGAGTCCGTGATCATGGCCCCGAACCGCAAATATGCCAATTACCCCGGCGCCCGGGAGGGCCCGACCCAGGTCAACACCAACACCCACAAGGAGGATCAGAACCCCGTCCTTCGCGGCTGGCCTCTAGTCGCCGGCTCGACCATGTACGTTCAGTCACTCTTTGCCATCCATGATCCAATCACTAATCCTCCAACACAGTCTTGCAAACTCCGGCGCCGTCCAGCGCTTCTTCTGGAGCAACGCCAAATTCGGTTCCATTAGGGACCTTCCAGGTCTGGACGACTACAGATACCGCTTCGCCGTTGGTATGCCCAGACCTATTTTCGGTTGTAGAATCTAACCAAATCTCCAGCCCGACGTCATCTGTCTCTCCGAGACGGGATCCCACCCGGAGCCCATCCCCTTCTCCGCAGAAGTCACCACCCCGGCGCCAGCAGACCAGCCGGCCCGCTACCTCTCCAGCGCAGACTACCACGCCCTTTACAAGACGGGCGCCGTCACCCCGCTCGACGTCGTCCAGGCCCTGCTGCCCCTGATCCGACGCGCCGAGGGCCACCCGCCGCCGCAGACAGGTCCGTATGCGAACGCCTGGGTGGCATCCCATGGCCGCGAAGACCTCGCCATCGACTCTGCCCGAGCTTCCACCGAAAGATGGCGCCGTGGCGAGCCCTTGGGACCGCTCGACGGTGTTCCCATTGGAGTGAAGGATGACATCGACGTGAAGGGATACGTCAGCCACAACGGCATGCAGTACCGGCCCGACCTGCCCTGGTTCAAGCCCGCCGAAAAGACCTGGTGGCCTGTCGAACAGCTCGAGGCAGCCGGTGCCATTGTTCTGGGCAAGAATGCCATGCATGAGCTCGGTGGTGGTCAGTTTCACACCCCTTGTCTCATCATCTAGTATAAGCTTAAGCTAACCTCCCACGCAGACACCAACGGCTGCAATGTGAGAAACAAATCCAGCTGCCCTTGATTACCATTGCTAACCCTCGTAGCCTCGATGGGGAACGCCCACAAACTGGCACAACAAGTCCTACTACCCCGGCGGATCCTCCTCCGGAGGCGGGTCCGCCCTCGGCGCCGGCATCGTCCCCATCTCCATCGGCACCGACGCCGGCGGCTCCATCCGCATCCCCTCCTCCTTCAACGGCATCTACGGCCTCAAGCCCTCCCACCACCGCACCTGCGCCATGAACTCCTCCATGTGCGTCGTCGGGCCCCTCGCCGCCACCGTCTCCGACCTCACAATCGCCTACCGCCTCATGTCGCGGCCCAACCCCGACGACCCGATCCAAGGCCTCTACACCCCCTCCATCCCACCCTCGCCGTCTGCCCCCAAGACGATCGCCATCGACGAGGCGTGGTGGTCCAAAGCCTCCGGCCCCGTCGCCTCCATCTGCCGCGCCGCCGTCGACAACTTCAAATCCCAGGGCTACACCATCATCAACATCCGCATCCCCTACCTCCGCGAGATCCAGCTCATGCACTCCGCCACCTGCGTGACCGAGATGCAGGACCTCGCCCGCCACCGCCACCCGGACCCGGCCGCCTGGCAGTCCATCATCAACCACGCCAACAAGGTCACCATGTCCGTCGGCACCCAGACCCCCGCCGGCGACTACATGAAGTACAACCAGCTGCGCGACCTGCTCATGAAGCACCTCGCCCACCTCTTCGAGGAGAACCCCGGCATGCTCGTCGTCACCCCCACCACGCCACTCCCCGGCTGGCCCAAGCACCCCGGCGACGAGGCCTACGGCGTCTCCGACACGAACACCACCATCGCCAACATGAGCTACGTCTACGTCGCCAACGTCAGCGGGTGCCCCGCCGTCACCGCGCCCGTCGGCTATGTCGACCCTGTTCAGGGCGAGGGCAAGATCCCCGTCGGGCTGATGGCCATGGCGGAGTGGGGGTGCGAGGAGCAGCTGCTCGGCTGGGCGCGCGAGGCCGAGACGTACCTGCACAAGGAGGGACGGCAACGGCCGGAGGGTTGGGTGGACGTGATTGAGATGACCAAGAACGGGGGTCTCGAAGCCAAGAAGAACATCTAAAAACAATACGGCACTTATCGCGGAAAAGAAAATAGGGGGGAGAGGGGTAGTGATATATCACATCATGTTCTTGTAGTGTTTGGATAACAATAACCGGAATTCTATCAAGCGCGAAAGACAGTGCAAAGAGGCAAGTAGCCGTCGTATCTACCGCTCTCATCCATAATCGTCATCATCACATCGTACCAAATGAGCTCTCCCACCTGCTCTCAGAATGTGAGCCCTGTCCTCACTTGGTAAGGAACTTGGACGCCAAGCCCATGAACCCGCCCTTCTGCTCCCCCTGGCTCTTGAAGTACATCTTGAGCGCCATCTCGCCGGCCTGTTGGATCGCCGACTCCTTGCTGGTGCCCTCTGCGACCTTGCCCTGCGACTGGCGCTGGTCGAACAACTGGAACACACACTCACGCGTTAGCCATCCCGTCTCCAGCGTGGAATGGAGAAAAGAAAGACTTACCCGACTGGCCTCCGCCATGGCAAGTCCCATAAACCCGCCCTGGCTCTGCTTCTGCCCGCCCGTCTCGCCGCTCGAGAACATCTTGAGCGCCTGCATCGCGGCCGCGGCGCCGAGACCCTTGTCGTCCGCCTTCTCATCATCGTCGTCGTCGCCAAAGAACTTCTTGTGCTTCTTGACGGCATCTGTTTATAAACCAAGTATGAGTATCAACACACACGCACAAGCAATATACTCTATAGCAGTGCAAGAGCGCAACACAACAAACAACAAAACATCACATACCGTCCTCATCGATGTCTTCATTCGCCAACTGCCCCTTCTTCTGCGTCAAGGCGCCCAAGACAGTCGAGAACAGGTCCGCGTCGCCGCTGGAACCCGCGTGGCGCGAGGCCTGGTGGGCGGCCTGTCGATAATCGTCATCGTCGTCGTCGGGGAACGCGCCGCCGCCCGCGGGGTAGTTGCCGCCGTGAGCCTCTGCGCGTCGAATAATCAGCCTCGGGAAACTTTGTGAACGATTCTCATGTCTCTCTTCAAAAGCAAAGAAGAAGATATGCGGTTGCTTTCTCTCGACAAAAGAAGCTCCCCTCCCAATCACTCATAGAATGCAATCTTGACAAACCCCTGGAAGATCTACAATAGATAGACCGATGTTTGGATGAAGACTAGGGGGGACCGCAGAAACCAAAAAAAGTAAATAAAATGCAAAACATCAAAAACTTACTGTCGCCTCCAGGAAGAGGTTGGCCTGTTGCGTGGTAATGCACACACTATCGTCAGTAACAAGCTTTCTCGCTGGATGAGGGGCGCGGGGTAATAGGTGGCGCCTGCCGGCACTGGGACACTTGGATGGCGGGGTAAAGGTAGGTAGGGTAAGGGGAAGCTTGGGCAGCGCGTACCGTAGCCCTGCGAGGAGGACTGGTGCTGCGACGGCTTGTCGTCGTCGTCCTTGTTCAGGTACGCTTGCACCTTTGATTGCGCGAGGTCTGCGAACTTGTCCATTTTGGTTATGTATGATACGTGATATTTGGTTGCGAAGATGCAAAGGTATGAAGCAGTATATGTTCTTGTTAGGAAGAGAAGAGGGATTTACATGTGCCTGGGTTGCAAGCTCTTGTAGCTAGAAGGCCAGCCACGTCTCCGCAGAACAGACGGGCGATCAATTGTCTCAGGACACCCTTAGTTGGCCATGCACACCAGCGGCTGCGACGAGGAATATCCAACGAGCCAATGGCTGATGCGCGTTGCAGCCATAGAGGGGAGCAACATGCGTTTCTCAGCTGCCATGCCTAGCGCGCCCCGTTTCGTGAAGATTGATACCAGTGACGCAGCAGGCCTGGCGTAAAGACTGGTTCAAAAGCTCGCGCCCACGATACAAACGTCGTCTCCCATCCCGCTTCGTGGGTTGACTGATGACCAGCACTGCGTGTGCCTGGCCCCCTCCACGTCTGATGTGCCTGTGCTACGGAGTCCCACCCGCCCCATTCAAGATCAACCACCATGGTCGCATCCGCAGGTGCATGCTCGTCCCGTCCAATCATGGCTTCCGTGCTAGGATGGCCTGATTTGTCCTGGATGCAAGGTCGGAGCCTGTTCAGCAGTATTCAGGGCTCCAGTTGCAAACGAGTTGTTTCAGGAACCTACCGGCCTTCCTGAAGACGTCTATGAGCAGCACAAGTGTGTTGATAGTGTTGGTCAAAAGCGACTCCCAAGGCACCATACACTGTCATGTTCGACAAAGGGCCGAGGTCGTCCATGACTGGGCTTACTCACTCAGTGGTGGACAGTGGGCATGCTCACAGCCGCCGTGACCAACGGGACGCATCGTTAGAAGCCCCTCATCTGAGAGGCTCCATATAGATATCACTTTTTCTGCAGTCCGTCCTGTCTGGCCAGGGTCTTGGCTGACCGCCAGTCGAACCGCCTCAAAATAGACAATTAGCCCGCGGGGGCCCGCCAAGCCGACAAAATTCGATGCCAGCAGCAGCATCAGGCTTGGCGGGCGGCTGGTGATTGAAAGCAACATGGCTTGAATTTCGCTGTTGAGACTGCCCATCTGAAATCGCGCGCTCCTTGTCCCATGACCTGGTGTCGTGTTTAGGTATCTCGGTTGCTGCAAAAAAGGCTGAAAACAAAACGGACGGCCGTATGTTCGTCATAGTCATAGCTGCGCCGTGCCCTCTTCCAGACGCCAACGCCGGTGGACATCATGAAGCTCCTCCGCCTCCATCTCTCCGGGGGCACATGTCGATAGATGCGGCAGCGTCGACCCATTAACTAATTTTAACTGTGAGCCCCCGTGGAGTGCTCGACTGCCAATGAACCCGCTGCATTATTGCTGCCGCCATGGCGGTTCTTCTTCTCCTTCTTAGCCCATCTAAGCCCGCACGCGTTACATAGCGTCTTGGGGCCACTCGGACCTTTACGCCATTCGGGTGAATCGAGGGTACCTGTTTGGCATCGTCAGAATGAACATTACTGTTGTCGTCTGGTTAAAATGAAGCCTACCGCAGTCCGTGCAGACATATTCCTCCGAAGTCTTAAGCTTCTTCTTTTTGTCGCCTGTCCGAGGATCTCGGTCCAAAGGAATAGCAATTCCGGCATCGCCCTTGATTAAAGTTGGGCTTGCATTTCCTGTCGTGATGCCACGACTTCTCTCCCCCTCGATGTATCTCAACCCTGTCAACATCTCGATGGTATCGGTATGCGAGGCACCGCCTTCGTAACGAGCCATCTTGTCCTTCAGAGAGTCTGGGCGACTTCCTGCGACACCCTCCAAAGCTTCCCGGGTGAGCGCGACGTTTAGTGCTGAAGTTCGGTCATTGGAGTTATCGTGACGCGATATGCTTGGGGCGGAGGTGGTCATGGTGGTTTCTGAAGGAGTTACGTCTGATCTGCCTTCCTGACTCTGCTGCCACAGTCTCTGCGACTCCTCATTTTCCATCTCTTCCTCCCTGCGAAGCTCAGCGATGCGCCTTCTCAGCCTCTCGTTCTCCATCTTGTGCTCGAGGAACGTGTCTAGCAGGCCTGCATTTTTTGTGGGGTACAGGCGCGACATCATAAACACGGCCTGACAGAAGGGCGATTGATTGTGCGGGTTGGGGGCGAACTTGGCGGCAGCGATATGGGCATGACCGACTGACTCAAAGATGGCGTATTTACCATCCTTCTTCTTGAACCTAAAGAAGAGGCGCAGAGGGTTCCCTGAGGCAATCGACTCGTTCAGCTCGGCGACAAACACGCCTACGTCGTCTGGGTGTACGAGATCCTTGAGGAAGGTGTCGATGATCTCTTCGGAGGTGTATCCGGTTAAGTTAAGAATACTAGGGGAGACATATCGTATGCGACCATTGGCGTCGAGAATCTGAAGGAAATCTTTGAGCTCTTCGATGACCTTGGCAGGCCAGCCTCGTCGCTTCGTGAACTCGGTCAGAGTGCTGCTTCCCGCCTGTTGCATAGCTTGAGAATTGAAGCCGCCAACGGGCGGAGGCCCCCCTCCGACAACGCTGGATGCGTCGTCGCCATTTTTCGAATAGCTGGTGTTCATGCCGGAGGGATCGTCGGTAAGGCCGTCAGGCATAGGGGTATTAACGAAGAAGTTGGACATTCCGTTGTCGTCGCCGGGGTTGTCGACGTTCATGGACATGGCATCGAAGTTCCCATATATTGTTGAGTCTAGGAGAGTAGACATCATGTTGGGGTCGGCTTCGGCCATCTGCATTGCGTCAGCACGGCTTGGGGAGCGGTAAGTAGCCATTTGATGGGGTTCAAAGGGAATGCGCCGGGGGTCGGCGGGTCAGGTGAAGGAAGAGGAGAGGTAAGCGAGAGTGGTGGAAGAGCTGGTTCGGTGAGGTCCCATGTGCATCAGGCTGTGAGGAACAAGAGGAGGAGGAGCGGGCAGATAGCGGGCAGGCAGCGGGCGGGGAGCAACTAACAGCATCAAAGGCAGAGAAGTCTTGGGGCCCGAAGCCAAACATACTGGCTGGGGGCGGTTGAGGTGGTCCGTGAGACATGATTGTGGTGGTATTGTTCCAATACTGATGCTGGCACAGACGGCTTCTAACAAAGGCATTTGGCGGTTTGTGTAGCGACTCGGATGGTGCCCCGTGGGGCGATTGACCACTGAGATTGACGTCTTCGCAGTGGTCGCGGCGGCGGCGGCGGCACGGCGCTGAGGTGCGTGTCCAGATAGATCTAGGCCTGGGCCTCTTGGTGGACTGTTGGCAGCCAACTCAAACCGCGATAAGGTATCGATGCTGGCTATCAGGTCCAGTGCTGCGAGGTATCCGTAGGGAGGGTGTTCGATTGGAACCGCACCATGCGCACTGCAGCGCGACAGAAGCAGCAAGCAATGCAGCTACAACAGCAGGGCCCAGTAAGCTGCGCGAGTACCAGCGACAGCTCTTGCGACGACGGCCGGCAAATGCGACTATGCTTGTGTACTCGTCGTGGACGTTGGCTGTCGGTTCGGGCTGGGCTCGAGCAGCTCGCAAGCACGAGTTAGTTTCGGAGCAGGGCGTCGACTCCGACAGAGCCTAGAAGCAGCTAGGTCCAAGGTACGAATACGGGACGGGATATGGGGCGTTGTGCGTCGACGGGAGCACTTCTCAGCCCTTCATATCTCTTTTTGTTTGGTCCAGAACGGCCTGTTCGCAGCGGTAGGAACAGAATAGCGACCGATGTTGAAGAATTTCGCCAGGATGCGAGGTTGCTGCAGCACAAAACCGACGTAAACCAACGACAACGAGGGCGGCGCAAAGACCAGGGTTGATCGAAGAGTGATTTCTGTGCGAGAGATTTCCAGAGGACGGGGGCTTGTAGTCATTAATAAAGGGCGGGTATTGGGTGACCACTAGCACAGAGTGCGTGAGTGAGAGAGAGAGAAGCCAGTCCAGTCCGGTTGAGAGTATGGCTTGGTGTGGTGCGGAGCGATGCGAGACTTGGGCAGCGGTAGCGGTAGCAGTTGTAAGGCAGGTAAAGGCAGGCCCGGTATCCGTATGTAGTCAGAGAGATAGCAGCAACCGGGTAAGGCCAGTGAGGTAGCAGCGACAGGGCCGGCAGGTCTTGTCGGCTGAATTCCACACAACTCAGCTAGGAGCTAGGTAAGGTTGTCTCGTCCTGTCTGTCGGGGCTGACTTGCTTCGTGACACGGGGGGGCGTGTCCAGTCAAGGTCGTCGGGGTCGGATCACCGCGAGCTTGGCCGGCAAGCCAGAGACACTGCGCGAGATGCGGGCGGGATGCAGACTGTCGGGGTTGATGCAAGAAGCGAGGGGAGGGAAGGAAAGGGGACCAGGAATGGAGAGGGAGGTGTGCAGAGAGAGGGGAGAAGGAAAAGACAAGAAAGCGGAAGACGAGGGGCAGAGGAAACAATTTGTGAAAATGGCCGGTAGGGAAGGTGAGGGAAACCAAGTCACGTCGTCACCAAAAAAACTAGATAGGTGTGGTGGGCAGGCACAGGTACAGGCACAGGCACAGGCACAGGCATGATAGGTGCAGGCAAGCAGGGTAAAGACGAGGAAGGAAGCTGGAGGAGCGGCGTGGGATGTCAGGGGACCTGCGAAAAGGAAGGGGACGGGGGGACTGGAGAAAAAAAAAACATGGGAAACTGCAAAATGGAAATGGAGCATATGGCAATTTTGAGCGTCCGGGACATGGAATTCTGCAAAAACAACCCCTCCACCCCGCCCAAGAGCACCTCCCACGCAATCGCCATCTCACTAACAATGCACCTCTGCCACCGCTGTAAGATGGATAACTGGGCTGCTAATCGCCCTGGATTGGGCAGTTTCCAGCGCACCAATGGGCCGTCCAGCACCTGCTACGGTGCGTGCTCTCCCTTACACTGGCACGTCATGTCTCCATGCCTTGCCCATGCCTTGGGGAACTGCACGGTCCAGCTGTCCATTGCAATGGTTCCAGAGCTCAGATTCCAGGGGCTCTACGCAACGATTATCCCCTGTGGCTGCCGCCTGCGGAGCCACTGTCCGGAGCAAACGCCCCGGCATCACGGCGGTCAAAGAAACCCTCGCCGCAGTTGTTTGGCTGCGTGAGGCATCAAATTGGGTCGCGGTGGATCTGCTTGGCCGCTAGAGCCCGCGCTGGATGCTTTACCTTAATCGGCTAGGCATTATTACCAACTTTCGTGGATCCTTCTCGGCCTTCTGGAAACACCGTACCCAGCATCACGTATTCGGATCGTGCACCGCACCTACGTGCTTATTTGGGTCGTTATGAATAAATAGAGTGCAGTTGTCGCGTTCGACAACTGCATGACGAGAGGTGCTTGACTGCCACGTTGAACCGAGGTGGTTGTGGTGGTGGTGGTGGTCTGGTCCGAAGTAAGGGAAGACTGTTGGTTGGCTTGTCAGATGATGCAATCCGCCATGTAATGCAGTGTGTATCCTTTTACCTTTCAGCAACGTGTGCGCTCTTCTCAATCTCGAGCTACGTAACTTACACAGCAAACCAAATCTCGAAGCTTCAAGTCTGACAGCTCGTTGCTTGCTGTCATGCATGCAGACAAATGAGTGTTGGTTACGGTTGGTTACCTTACTTGGCGACCTTGTGTACCTGAACCGCCGTGCAGTGCAGGCATGCCCGGGCAAGTCGGAAACGACCTACTTGATTGCCTGCTTACCTTAAGCTGAGGTACCTATGATCAACGTCGTCGCCATCGCCTGTTATGAGTCTAGAGTCACCGCCTGCCGCTGTTTGCCTTCCCAGATAGAGACCATCTAATTTTCCTCTCTCTACGCGGCTACATTTCCTGTGTACTTGGTGACTTTGACGAGGACTTTGACGATAAAGGGACGATGATAGCAACGATAATAGCGACTACAGCGGCAACGGCGATATCAGGAACAGTGTCGCTCTAGCACACGAAACATAGGATGTCTGCCCGTTATTTTACCTTCCTTATGCCCAGCTTAGCTACCTACGTAGGCCTCCCAGGTAAGCTAGCCCGACCTTGGGCCGAACAAGAAAGAGAAAAGAGTGTTGATCCGAGTCTTTTCGTTATCTTATCTAACACCGAGCCATATCTTATCTAATCAGACCACGATCATAGTGCACTCCTTCCAGGGCCCCGACGCGTGAATGCCTGCTGCGCGTCGAGAAGCCGATGGCAGCCTGCTTCAAGGCAACCTTGAACGACTCCCCCGTGCACCCCTCTAAGCACAAAATAGACTTCTTCCCATCCCCACCTCGGTCTTGATGTACTTTACCCTTCTTCAACTTCACATTGCTCTTTTTACCAAAGTATCATCCGAATCGGGCTAACGGCCTTCCGAGGCACCGCCCGCGATGTCCAAGATCGATAAGTTGTCTGTCCAGGGCATTCGCTCCTTCGGCGGCAGCCGTGAAACCATCTCCTTCTACACACCCCTAACTCTTATCGTTGGATACAACGGCTCCGGAAAGACGACCATCATCGAGTGCCTCAAGTATGCCACCACCGGCGAGCAGCCACCCAACAGCAAAGGAGGCGCTTTTGTCCATGACCCTAAGGTACGCCCCCACCCACCCAGGACTCTTCAACCTTCTCAAGCTAAGATGTTGCAGTTGTGCGGAGAAAAGGAAGTTCTAGCCCAGGTCAAGCTCGCATTCACGTCGACTAGCGGCCTTAAGTTCGTTGCTACTCGCAGTCTTCAGTTGACCGTCAAGAAAACTACGCGATCACTCAAGACCCTCGAGGGTTCCTTGGCCTGCAACAACAATGGCGAGCGCACAGTCACTTCCAGCAGAGTGGCGCAGATGGACGAATGGATTCCGAGAGAGCTTGGTGTCTCGCGAGCCATCCTCGACTACGTCATCTTCTGTCACCAGGACGAATCTCTCTGGCCCATGAGCGAACCCGCCGCGCTGAAGAAGCAGTTCGACCAGATTTTCGAGGCGATGCGATACACCAAGGCTATCGACAACCTGAAGCTCCTCAGAAAAAAGCAGGGTGAGGAGCTGTCCAAACTCAAGATTTTTGAAGAGCAGGACAGGATCAATAAGGAGAAAGGCGACCGAGCTGAGAAGCGGGCTACTGAGCTAGAGGCCGAGATTGAAGCAGCCAGAGCGAAGTGCAAGACAATGTCGGCTGAGATGGAGGACCTTCAACAGCAGATTCGCGAAAAGCACGAACAGGCAAACAGTTTCCTCCGCATCGTGAACGATCTCAAGTTCAAGCGGGATCAACTCACTTACCGCGAGGGCGCCATTTCCGATCTCAAGATGACCCTGGAGGAACTCTCAGAGGATGACGAGTACCTCAAGAACGCGCTGGAACAGTACGAAGAGCGCATGTCGCGATACCAGGAGGAAGCGGACGAAAATAAGACCCAATACAACGAGCTTCAAAAGGACATGACCAACTCTCGCAAGGAGCTGTCTCTGAAGCTGGCCGAGCAGGGAAAGCATCAATCCGACAAGGACAAATACGAGCGTCAACTTCAGTCCCGCATGGAGCTGGTCCGACAGGCCGCGGAAATGCACGGGTTCCGGGGCTACGACGGTGACCTGAAGGACAGCCAGATCAAGACCTTCAACGAGCGCATCCAGAAACTTCTGGCAGACAAGAAGCGCGACTTGGAGCGCGTACAGAAGGAGAACGCCCGCGAGCTGGACCAGGCCACGAGCGTCATCACCGAGCTCGAGGGCCGCAAGGCAACTATGACACAGAACCGAGTATTTGCCAAGCAACGATTAGGTGCGATTGAGAAGCGTGTCAACGTTTTGCAGATGGATATCAACCGCTTGGACATTGACGAGGGCGCCAAAGCCATCTTGGACAGCCAGTTCGAAGATGTCGAGAGCAGGTTGAAGAAAGCCAACGAGTCATTGGTTGCTGCTGATTTCGATGCGCAGCTTCAGCAAGACAACGAGAAGCTGTGGCAGCTCGAGAGCGAGAACGAGAAGCTAGGACGTGAGCTGATGGAGTGCACAAGACTCGCATCCGAGCGTGCACAGCTGGATCTGCGCAAGAAGGAGTTATCGGACCGTAAGCGCAAGTTGGATACTCTGACAAACACGTGGAAGCCCAAGCTGGACACGCATGTTGGCGCTGCTTGGCAGACAGAGACGCTCGAATCTCAATACCACGATGTCATCAAGCGCCAGAACAAGGTGCTTGCAGAAGCTCGTCAAAAGCGCGAATCGGCAAGAGACAAACATCAAAAAGTCGACTACCGTCTCAAGAGCGCCAAGGAGACCGGTCAGAAGAAGACAGCCGAGGCGTCGCGCTGCCAGGAGACTGTGGTCAATGCTTTGAAGTCGGTTCGCGACGGTGCCACCATCGAGGACTACGAAGAGGAGTACAAGCTCCACGAGGAGGATGTGGAAACCTACCAAACCGACATCAGCCTTTTGGATGCTTTGGCCGACTACTACCGTGGTTGCCAAAAGACCTTGCAGGATAAGAACAAATGTCGACTCTGCGATCGTGGGTTCGATGACAAGCAGAATGTTGCCAAGTCCAGGTTCTCCGACAAGCTTGTCAAGTTCCTCGACCCTAACAAGAAGGAGAAGGCAGAGGAGGATCTCGCCAACTCCACAAATCTCCTCAACTCGCTGCGCAAAGTCAAGCCGCAGTACGAAACGTATCAGCGCCTGATGGCCGAAATTCCTGGCGTTAAGGATGAGTGCTCCTCGCTGGAAGCTGAATGCGAGGCTCTGGAAAGGCAACTAGAGGAGCATGATGCCATCTTCAGCGCCGAGGAAGAGAAGTTGAACGACATTGAGTCCCTGAACAAGACTGTCATCAATATTACCCAAGCTCTCAAGGACATCAAGGACTCAGAGTCTCAGGTTGACAGAATTATGTCTCAACAATCGTCGAGCGTTGCTAGCCGAAGTGCTGACGAGATCCACGAACTTCAGGCAACGTGCAACGAGCAGATCAGATCGTTGAAGAACAAGATTTTAAAGACCTCGACTGAGCGTCAACGTATGAAGGATCAGCTCAACGCTCTTGAGCTGGAAAAGAGTGAGCTGAGGAACAAGCTGAGCAAGGCCCTCAACCAGCTTGAGCGCAAGAAGGACTTCCAGAACCAGATTCAGACCTTGAAGGATGACCAGACTCACCAGAGAGAACTGATCAGCAAGGCAGACGAGGATTTGGAGAAGATCGAGCCTGAGATTGCCGAGGCGAGATCAGTGCGAAACGATACTTTGCAGAAAGGTCGTACCAAGGAGCAGGGCATTGTGGAGGAGCGCGACAAGGTTGCCAACTCCGTTACGGAACTAAAGATGGTTGAGTGCGACATTCAGGACTACATCGACCGAGGCGGCCCGTCCAACCTTGCGTCCAATGAACGCGCCATTGCCGCTCTCGAGAAGTCCATCGCTGGGTTGGACAAGGAGATTTCGGACTTGACGGTGCGGACTAATAAGCTCAAGCAAGACATCGACAACGGCGACCGGAAAAAGCAGAACATTAGCAACAACATCAAGTACCGCCAGAATCTCCAGCAGCTCGAGGTTCTTCGACGTGACATTCAGGACCTGGAGGCCCGTGATGCCGACGAGGATTATAGGACATTGGCTGCTGAAGCCAAGCAACTGGAGAATCGTCACAGCCGACTCGTTGCCGAACGCGGCTCTGTCATGGGCCAAATGACGACTAAGGACAAAGAGCTGGAGCGAGTGCTGGAAGAATGGAACCAGGAATACAAGGACGCTGCGAAGAAGTTCCGCGAGTCGCACATCAAAGTCGAGACCACCAAGGCTGCTATTGAGGATCTGGGTCGTTATAGTGCTGCCCTGGACAAAGCAATCATGCAGTATCACAGTCTCAAGATGGAGGAGGTGAACCGTATCGCCGGCGAGCTGTGGCAGAGTACCTACCAAGGTACCGACATTGACACCATCCTGATTCGCTCCGACAACGAGAACGCAACTACTGGCCGTCGCTCGTACAACTATCGGGTTTGTATGGTCAAGCAGGACACGGAGATGGACATGCGTGGCCGCTGCTCCGCTGGACAGAAGGTGTTGGCCAGCATCATCATTCGCCTAGCTCTCGCAGAGAGTTTTGGTGTCAACTGTGGCCTCATTGCCCTTGACGAGCCGACGACCAATCTCGACAAGGACAACATCAAGAGTCTCGCCGAGAGTCTTCACGCCATCATTAAGGCCCGCCAAGCACAGAGCAACTTCCAGCTCATTGTCATCACCCACGACGAGGAGTTTTTGCGACACATGCGCTGCAGCGACTTCTGCGACAGTTTCTTCCGCGTCAGGAGAGACGACAAGCAGAACAGTGTTATTACAAAGGAGAGCATCACGAGGGTATTGTAAGGCGTATATTCTGGTGTTTACGACGGATTGGGGTAGGACGGTTTACAAAAAGCATGGCGTTCTGGTCATTTTTATGGTCACTGCAGTCAATACGACTACGTTTGCTTAGGGTTAGACGTATGATAAGCGTAAAAAGAGCCCAATTGACGAAGACACGTTTATCACATGTGATTTCATTCTCAATTGTGCGATTTTAGTCCCGTTCGTCCTATTTTCGTGAGAATGCCATCACGTTGGAATATTATCACTGACACTAAAAGAGGTTCGGGGTGAAAGCGATTCATGGTATCATGGCCCCCTTCCTTAAACATGAGAGCGAGCATTCAAACGCTACTCGATGCCGGGCGGCGGAGCGGTTCTCTCCTTCTTCTCCTCGTCCTCGACCTTGGGCACCTTGGCCTCTGCTTCCTCTTCCTCCTTGACATCAGTGTTCATCTCCTCGTCCTCGTCTTCCTCCTTGGGCTTGACCTCGGCGTCAGCTTCCTCCTTGACCTCACCATGCTTCTTCTCCCCATCGTCTTCTTCCTTCTTCACCGGGGGAGCATCCTCGCCCGCGGTGACGACATCGCCATCGCCCTCCTTGATCTTCTTGCTCGCGAGACCCTCGAGCTCCGCGTCCGCATCCCGTTTGGAATGTGACGTGACGGTGCTCGTCTCCGAGGCGGCGTCGTCGCCGGCGGTGGTGGATTCCGCCTCCATCGTCACCGACGAGGTGTCCTCAGTTTGCGAGTCCTCGTCAGCTGCCGGGGGCGTGTTGGACGCGGCCTTGCGGCCCACGGCAGCCTCGACGTCAATGCCCTGCATCTCCATGCCCGGGCCGCCGACAAAGCTCGTCGTGACGCTCTGCGGGCCGAGGTCCTCGGCGCCAATCTCCTCGGGCCCGCGGGCGTGCGGGACCTCGTTCTCGTCTTCAGCCGCAGCACCACCGCCAGGTTGCTGCTTCTCGGGGCTGTTGCCGCCGCCGCTTTCACCACCACTGCCAGGGGAGGAGGAGCCGCCCGCGGCCGCGGCGGCGCGGAGGGCGGCGGCCTGCAGATGTGCTTCTTCTGTTTGTCGCGCGAGTTGGTTGACTGGAACGACGCCCTGCTCCTGCTCCTGTCGCAGTAACTCACCTTGCGTTATGCCTGCTGTGCCTGCTGCTGGGCCGCCTGCCGTGCTGATGTGGCCCGTGGCGCCCATGGACGGGATGCCGTTGACGCTGACGCTGACGGTCTCGATGCTGCCGACGCCGTTGGGGCCGTCGATGGTCTCCGTGGACTCGGTGCGGATCTCGGCGGGCCCGCTGTTGGAGCCGCCGCCGCTGGAGGATGCGGGCGAGGCGGATCCCGGGGAGGGCCGGCGCGTGAGCCAGGGGATGGGGGTTAGTAAGGCGCCGCCGAGGGCTTCGTCGGTGCCGACAGTCGAGGCGACCGAGTTTGTCGAGTTGCCCCAAGAGACGGCGGCGGCCGGGTCCGGGGGGGAGGAGCCGTTTGCGTTGTTGTTATTATTGCTGCCGAGAGCACCGTTGGAGAGGAGCGTCATGGCCGAGACGTCGGGGATGGCGGGTGGGAGGGGGTAGATGTTTGCGCCGCTTGTGACGTGAACAACTCGGTCGACGGCGTGGAGGTAGGAGGCCAGGTGGCGGTAATGGCGGCGCGGCTCGATGACGAGCTCGGCGAGGCGTTGGATCGTGTGCGGGGGGTACTTTGGGAAGCTGGCGAGGACGGACTTGATCTCGGTGAGCATGGCCTCGATCTGGGCCGGTAGGGAGCCCGGATCCGTTGGGGCAGCGGCGGCGTCGGGTGCATCGCTTTCGGCAGCCGGGGCTGGGGCGGTCGGCTGGCTGTTCTCCTTGTCTGCTTCCTGTGACGACGAGGGTTCGGCGGCGGGCTCGAGGGTTGGCGGTTGTCGTTGGCCTGATGGGTTAATGTGTTGAGGGAGGGCTGGCAGATTCGGGATAGGAAAGTCATTGTGAGCTATCTGGAAGAACATTCGCAAAGCGAACGTGTGAGCGCGCCCTGCGGGAGGCCAAGAGGAGTTTTTGGATGGGCAGTTTGAGGGAGGGGAGGCGGGAGTGAGTTGAGGTCGGTCGGCGATCGAGACATACCTTATCTAGCCTCGTGATGATGTCTTGCGACATGGCAGGCCATAGACCGCTTTGCGACGTGGTTAGCGATGGCGCGTCGATTTGGTGGGAGAGAGGGGCGATTGGCTTACTAGTCCATTTGGCCGCCTGACGCGACCGTCCGCAAGAGGTCATCGTCAACCTCGATCTCCATTTCTGAGGGCATGGAGTCGTTTGGGTGGTTGTTTTTTTTTTTTTGGGAAGAGAGCTATTCCCGCTGACGTCGCGTGCTGGGGGCAAGGAAAGCGCGACTGGTCGGGAAGTTGGAGAGATGCGCTTAAACGGGTTGCGCCCCGCGCCAAAAATAGCTTCGCGTAGAGAGGTTAATGCAGATACAGGAACGTTGAGCCGTTGTGCTTGGAATTCCTTTTGCAACCTGAAAGATGCTAGGACACGTCGAAAATGTGACCTGTGTTTTGTTACTGGGTAGTAAGGGTGCAGGACGACTGCTGAGGTTCTCGAGGCTCAAAAGCTACGGTGGATACAGAGTGTGACGCCAGAGTTGCAATGGCGGGTTGCCGACAAGTCGGTACTGGTAATGCACATTCGCTAGAAAATCTAGTGCCAAAAAAAAAAATTGGCTTTCAAGCAATTGAGACAATTAAGAAGGGAATCGTCCTAATGATATCGTTATGTTATAACAACATTGTGGGATATACTCCTGAGGCACTTGCGCGCTGGATTTATTGTCATGGTGGTCAATGACATAGCTATTTCTTTGCTCATGTTTGTTCACTTGGTCCGGACATCCACTTCGGGTCTCATCTTTTTTATCGTGGTATTTCAGGTTGTGGTCGTTATTGTCATGGGATAGTTCCTGAAAAATCAGATGGCAGCATCCACTAAAAAACCACCACATGCATCAACATAAAGGTTGCCATCTAATTGAAGCAATCCGTTGTTTGCGTCCCGGCGAATGCTTCCTGCAGTGTGCTAAGACCGAGTTTATGGCGAGCAAAACGGCAAAAAATAGTTTGATCGATGCAGGGATCGAACCTGCGATCCTCTGCGTGTAAAGCAGATGCCTTAAACCGCTGGGCCAATCGACCGGTGTTGGTTGATGAATGCGGAATTTTTATTGACTAAGAAGCGTGGAAGCCGTTCTTGTCTCAGGCCAACAATTGACTCACATGCACCAGCGTATCAACCTTTCTCGATCGTTTGGAGTTCCAAGCCGTGATCTGCTAAGATATTACATGCGACATCAAATCAACATTAGTTCGAACGACGCGGGGAATAAGGCAGCTTGAGGGGAACGTCGGACGTCGCCCGATGACCTTCAATTTTGGTGGAGGTAAGAGTTGACAACGAAACTTACTACCTATCTGTAGTACTACACCTTCGTGTTAACTCAAGAATATTCATATATCCACGCGAACTACGGCTGCGAATTGAATCGACTGGGTGTCAAGCCTCCATTTTCTGTAATCATCTATTGGAAAGAAGCATGCAGTGTATATATCTGTTAGTCTGCGGTACGCAGAGATCTCATTTCAGCGAGCAGAAAATGTAAATTTCCTTGTACCGTTATCGTCCCATCCGACCAGATGCGATAACTCCAGCTTTTCTTAAAATGTATACAACCAAGGTGCTTTTGGAAAACACGGGCAAAGGGAAAAAAGACATGGCGCTGTCATTTTCAACCTTTCCACTCTTTCCAAACTGCACCTTAGAAGTACAACCCCCCACGTGACGCTAGCGGGGTAAGATAGGTGCTCAAAATTTCTTCCTCCCACTCACGTTCTCAACTTCATTCCGCCAACCACAATCGCAACAAACAAACTCTATTCTCACCACTAGATTTCCATTTTCTTCCCCAACAACTCTCAAAAATGGCTCGTGTCAAGAACAAGGCTAGCGACACCCTCGCCCAGCGTCTCGCTCTCGTAGTGAAGTCAGGCAAAATCTCCCTCGGCCACGCTAGCACCAAGAAAGCCCTGCGCACCGGCAAGGCCAAGTTGGTCCTCATCGCCGCCAACGCCCCTCCCCTTCGCAAGTCGGAGCTTGAGTGTAAGCAAAATCCTGCCTCTGTGATGGAAGGCTTTCAATGTGCTGACTGGTCACAGACTACGCGATGCTGGCCAAGGTGCCCGTCCACCACTTCAACGGCACCAACATCGAGATGGGAACCGCCTGCGGCCGTCTCTTCCGTTGCGGCACCATGGTCATCCTTGATGCTGGCGACTCGGACATTCTCGCCGATCAGACCATCGGTTAGATCTTTCAAGGTATGTCCTCCCGCGGCGGAAGCATTCTGCGAAGCGTGTGTATGCACGTGGAGAATGTCTCGACTGACCGTTTCCCCCCTTCCAACAGACCGCCCAGCGCTCGTCAATGGCTCTGATGTCACGGTACGTGAACCAAAACTTCCAAAAACATTCTGCGAAGCGTGTTACGCCGGAACACACGTGGAGAATGCCGACTAACAGGTCGTCCTCTTGACAGCAAGCCCCGCACTTGCAAGGAGACCTGATCATAAGGTACGCCCCCCTTTCCAAACCTTCAATTTCCTGCGAAGCGCATTCTCCTTGAATGCGTGGAGGAAGGCATCCTGCGAAGCGCGTCCTTAATGGGCGTGTGGAGGATTGTTTCTACGAAGCATGCCTTGCCAGGCGTGTGGAGGAACGGTTCCTGCGAAGCATGTTTATACCAGCATGTGGAGGATTACGACTAACCTCATGATACCCCAGACTATAAAACAACGGGCTGCTGCAGTTTTTTCAACGCGCAGTCCTCTTGAGGAACAGCCCAACTTTGTCGATGCGACGCCGGGATACGTGAAGGTTGTAGCTAGTAGATAGATCAAAACATACTGTTTCTCAAGAACCTAAGATTTCTCCCCATCCCAAGAGTGACCATGCCACAACCACTCGAAGCATTCACTTGATAAACAAACAAACATGCCCTTTACTGTATTTACGACTCATACCCTTTCATCTTTTTATGATCTGCCCATGGGCAAAAAAGTGCTGACTAACTGAAAAGCGCCGGTAGGTGACCTGACCAGAAGCTTGGCGGGTCCCAGCCAAAATCCGACGTCACAGCAGCTTCAAACTGTGAAGCTCCAAGCTTCAAAACGGCTGCACCCAAAACCACCACACCACCACCCACCAAGATGCGCCCCTTCAGAGCCACCAGCACGCTCCTCCGCGGCGTCAATGGCCTCGCCCAGGCTTCGCGAAGGTAAATACTCATTCAATCTCCAAGCAAACCACCCAATTGACGGAGACAAACCCGCAGCCAAACCCAGGCTCCCCGCCTAATCGCATCCCAAAGCCTCCTCCTCCGCCGCACCTTCACCTCCAGCCCTCCCCTCGAGAAGAAGAAGAAATCCCCTCCCTCCTACCCGACCGCCGACTCCCCCGCCGTCGTCTCCCGCACCTCCCACGCCGCGCCCGACCATGACTCCGACCCAGACGACCCGGGCTCCAAGCACCCGAAGCCAGACCCCGCCGACCCCCTCGACTTCGGCGACGTCGCCTCCCGCTTCGCCTCCCTCGCCACGCACCACATGGACATCCTCAAGAAGATGCAGACAGGCGACCGTTTCTCCCCGGACGCCATTGGCGCCCTCGCCGTGCACCCCGACAAGAAGGACCCCGCGCAGTCCTACCCCCTCCGCGAGCTCGCCGAGATCGTGCCCCGCCCCGGCGGCCGCACCGTTTCTCTCTTGCTGCACGAGAAGGACTACCTCAAGCCCGTCATGTCCGCCGTGCAGGCGTCGCCCGACTTTAACCAGCAGCCGCAGCGCGACCCGGACAACGAGCTCGAGCTCATCCTCAAGGTCGAGCCGCAGAACAAGGACGCCGTCGTGCGCAAGGCGAAGGACGCCGCGCAGGCGTGGCGCGAGAAGATGCGCGCCGTCACGGAGAAGCGCAAGAAGCTGCACACCAAGTGGAACAAGGACAAGCTCATCGTGCCGGACCTGAAGCGGCGCGCGGATACGGAGTTGAAGAAGATTCAGGACAAGGAGATGAAGGGCGTCGATGCGGTGGAGGAGCAGACTATCAGAAAGCTCACGTAGATATGATGACCTGTGTGTAAACAAAACTGTAAAAAAGAGTTCACGCTTCCCTTTTTTTTGTGTCCCATCATCAGGGAGCGGATTCATCACGAGCCTCACAGAGTTGAGGTAGAAGAGACTTTGTATCTAAATGTACAAGAACTTTCGTGTTTCTCCTTTTTCTTTGAGGGGGTCCTTAATCATACAAATGCTCTCGATGCCACCACACTCATGCCTTAGCACCCGCAGCAGCAGCAGGCTTAGCGGCACCCTTGGCCCGGTTGACAAGCTGCGCAAGCTTCTCGTCAAACTTGACGCTCTCAAGCGCGTGGTAGCTCGGGTTCTGCAGGTGCTTCGCCTGCGCGACCTCCAGCGGCTGCTTCGCCCCCAGCTCCACATACTCGGGCCTCGCGTGCTGTCCCTTGACGACCCTGTCCATGATGTACTCTCTCACGGCCTTCTCCGCGCCGGCCTCCAGCTTCTCGGGGGACCTCTTGACGACCTTCATGTTCGTCGTCATCTTCTCCTCCGGCGTGTTCTTGATCGCCTCCACAAACGCCCTCTTGTCCTCCACCTCGTCGAAGAAGTGCGCCCCGTGGCCGCGGTACGCAAGCTCCGTCGCCACGTGCCTCGGCAGCGCCCACACGCCCGGCGCAGGCTTCGCCCCGCCGCCGACCTCCCTCAGCGCGTCCAGCACCTGCGCCGCCTGGTCCGCCGGCGCGCCCGTCGCCAGCGCCGGTGTGAAGGCGAGCAGGCTCTCCGCTGTCAAGCGGGGCTCGAAGCGCTCCGGCAGCCCGATGTCGCGCTTGCGGTAGTACAGGTGCTCCTCCTCCGTCGTCGGGCGGTGCCATTCCTCTGCTTCGTTCGGCTTCGGCTCCCTCCGATCCTCTTCGCCGTCCGCATTGCGTCCGCGGCGACCACCACGGCCGCCACGACCGCCACGACCTCCACGGCCGCCGCGGCCTCTCATCATGCCGCCCCGTCCTCCACCACGACCGAAGCCGCCGCGGCCGCGCTGGAATCCACCGCCTCTGCCTTCACCGAAGCCGCCACGGCCACCGCCCCTGACACCGAGACCGCCGCCACGACCGCGGAAGCTGGAGGGGAGCTTGACGAAGTTGGAACCGCCTGAGCTGCTGCCCTGACCGCCGCCCAGGCCGCTGCCCAGACCACCGCCGAGGCCGCGCTTCGGCAGTGTCTTGACGTCGATGACCCGCGCGGGCTGGCCAGCTGTGTTGTCGGGCTTGGACACCCCTCTGGTCGATCCGCTACTCAGGATCTGGCTAATTTCGCTCGCCGCGTTGCGGGATCGTTCGCGGCCGGAGAGTGGTGTTCTTGTCGGGGCACCATTGCCATTGGAGTTGTTCGAGGAGTCGGACTCGGCGGGGCGTAATTGCGTGGTGGAAAAGGTGCGGATGTATGATTTGACGGCAACGACGTCTGGCCTTATGCGGCCGCCGGCTGATCGCAGGGCCTGGGGGTGCATTGTTGGAGGTTTTGAGGACCGAGGCCGCGATGCGTTGCTTTGGCGTGGCCGTCGTGGTTGCTGCTGGACTGAGGTGAGGTTTGGAGCTTGAGAAATATTCGCGGTTAGGTAAGCAGGTGTGGGTGGGTCTGAGTGCCCGGGGAAGGTAGGGGGAGAGGTTCAACATCACGAACCGGTGTCTAGTAAAGTTACCCAATCAGGCACAAGTATTGATATAAAAAAAAAACTATTCTGGCTTGCCTTTCAAAAGCCGAGAGTCTATCATCACAGAAGAGTTGCTGAACTCGATTTGTTGGTTCGTATTTGGGTATGTCATTACTGGATGCATCAACCCAACAACGCTCACGAACCACAGCCCACAAGGATCTACACAATACGTCCAAATGTAACGTATTGCACTATGAATACGTTGAGAAACATTTCATTGTCAATGGGTTAACACCCGCCGCCGGTATACCAAAGTTGCGTTCGCACTCCGTACACAATCCGCTCCAGACTCCATGTCATTGATTCTCCGGATGCTTCCGTCTCTGAAATGCCAATCCCATAACCAATTAAACCAACCCATCCTCCAGGGTCTTTTGATGCCAGTTTCCCCTATGAACGCCAATCTGGCTATCCCTATGCGATAGAGACTGCGGCCAGAAATATGAAAGGATGCCCATCCCCCGCTTCGGGCCCGATGTCCGGGCACTCTGAATGCTCATGATGACACGACTCGGCTTGCTGGTGTCAAGCTCTAATTGAGTATGCCGAACTCTGCCCCTCAAGTTGAGACGACAGTCTCTGTGGTAGACAGTTTCTTGTATTTTGCAACCAACTCATTGATCTTGGGTATCAATTCAGGTATTCTGAATGGCTTGGAAATCACGTCATCCTGTAAACATGTTAGTGGAGTCCGAGTTGAGGTGAGGTACCGGGAAAAAATCCACTTACAATGCCGGCTTCTTTCGCGCTCTCGATTTGCTCAGGCCGCGCGTAAGCCGTAACGGCAATGATGGGGATGTGAGTGATGAGAGTTCCTTCCCTCTCCAATTCGCGAATGCGCCTTGCGCACGTCATGCCATCCATGACCGGCATCTCTAGATCCATCAGGATAACGCTGAGATCGAAACCTTCCGCCTCTTTTCCAGACCAGAAGCGAGACTTCTTGAGTTGATCTAGGGCTTCCCCGCCGTGGTTCGCAACATGCGTGTTGTTGCCACAATTCCTTAATTGCTTCTGGAGAACTCGCTGGTTCACAATGTTGTCTTCCACAATCAAGACGTCCAGGGGTGGAGGTCCCTCTGGGACGGCCTTCCGGTAGGATGCCCGCCGTGGCAGAGAGTTCGGGGGAGGGGGTGTCGATGGCGAAGATGTCGGTGCTTTGATCGGTCTGGCGAGGTTCAAAGCCGATAATGTTGTCGAGTCTACGCTCGGTGCGGGCGTTTTGCGGCACTTCACGTAGAATGCAAAAGTGCTACCAATACCCTTCTCCGAGATGACGCCGATCTGGCCGCCTTGTAATTCAGCAAGCATTCTCGAGATGAACAAGCCCAGACCTGAGCCGCCATACTGCACGTGAGTACGCGGTGAGGCTTGCGAGAACCTCTGGAACAGCAGCTTCTTCTCGTCTTCCCGAAGGCCAGGGCCTGTGTCCTGGACCGAAAAGTGGAGGTTGATTTCTTCTCCCTCGCCCCAATCCTTTTCTTGGGTCAGAGCCTTGACATCCTCCTTACGGCTGGGGAAGAATGATACACCCTTCTGAGTAACTTCGCGAATATCCTTGGAAGCGCTCATGCTCATGATGATCTCGCGCTTTTCACGGCCTTGGGTGAACTTGATAGCGTTGGTCATCAGGTTGATCAAGACTTGTCTCAGCCTAGACGGGTCTAACCTGACCCAGTCAACAGCATGCTTGTAAAATGCCTGCTCAATTGAGAATTCCAGGCGAATGTCATGCGTGCTCAACTCCGACTCGAACATTTTGATGACGTGTCGTACAATGGTGACGGGGTGTGAGTCGACAGGGGTTACCAGCAACAGTTGGGAGTCCAGCTTGGAGAGTGTCAGAACGTCATCTACGATGCGTTTCTGGTGGCTAGCGCAGAGGTTGATTGTGTTGGCAGCCTCCGTACAGCCGTCCAACAATACCTCGAGCTCCTTATGGTCTTGTTGTCCTCGGAACTCCGTGATGCTATTGACAATCTCATCTGCGCACTGAAGCACCGCACTAAGGGGGTTGCGCATCTCGTGACTGGTGATATCGATGAAGTTCTCCTGCTGTCTCTTGAGTTCCACCGCTTCTTCTCTTCGTTGCTTCTGGAAATCCTCGGCCCATTTCTGCGGCGAAATATCGGTGATACAGCCAAAGATGCTCTTGAGGGTGCCGTGCTCGGTCTTCTCCGGGAACGCACTCATCAACACCCAGGTGTCGATGGTGTTGCGTCCGTTTTGCCGACTGCATTTGAATCGGAACTCGACGGTAACAGCCTCCTTGTCTTCGATGAGCTTCTTCCACGAGCGTTCGAGGCCTGAACGATCTTCCTCCCTGACACTTTGCATCCATGTGTTGACGCTGTCTTCGGTGCGCGGATGCCTGGATATTTGCCACCACATGTCGTTGGCGAAGTTGATATGGCCCTTGTCATTAGCAATAAAGATGCCAACTGGTGCAAACTCGGCCATTCGGCTGAACTTGTACTCGCTTTCCACCGCCTCTTGGGTTCTCAAGTAAAGCTCCATCTGCAGTTCTTGGCGATCCAATGCAGCAAGACGGGCAGCCCTCTGGCCCCTCTTGATTTCCTCTTCGAATAGCACGACTGAGGCCATCGACGTCGCCAGCTGTCTGGAGAGGAGGTGGATGAAAAGCTGGTAGTCATCGTCATATGGTCTGCGAGGGTTAGTACCCAGGACGATGAAGCCCACTACTGACTCTCCCGCCGTTGTAGGATGCACAGGCAAGATGACAATTGTTTTCGATGGGTCCCCAAAACCTCTCCAATCCATGCCCTCGAGCAGCTTAGTCGGAAGGTTGCCGGCTTCTTGAGAGAGAACAATGGGCGCACCCTGCATGGTCATAGACTGACGCATGTACGGCGCAAAGCCCTCATCTGAGGACTTGAGGTCGAGATGGGTGAGGGCTGTTGGATGCCCGTCAGGAACGCCCAAGGAGCCTTCAAGTTGCAAAAGAGGCGGGTGTGCTATACTGCCGGAATGCATTGAAGACACCTCGCTTTCGTTGTCCTCTTTGACAGAATAAATAAGGGCGAAGGGTACATCCAAGTCATTGAATTCGAGGCCTTCGCGAACCCTTGGCCAAAAGTTCCGGACATCCTTAGCGGCCGCGGTCTTCTCGCCAACCTCTCTCAACGTCAACATGCGGCGTTCGTTGACCTTGCGGCGGGTATTCTCAAACGCGGGGTTGTAGAGACCGACAATCTGACCGTCGCTTCCCAGCAATGGAATGATTGACCAAGAAAAGAATGTTTCCTCCAAGAAGCCGTGTCGCATAATGAAGAGCTGGTTGTCGTTCTTCATGATTGATGTGCCGTTATCCCAAGCGTTGCTTACCACACCCTCTAGCTCCGACCAAATTTCAGCCCAGGCATCCTTGTACCGCATGCCCATGAGCTGTGGGTGTTTCTGGCCGGCGAGCTCGACGTACGCCTCGTTGTAGAGGATGACATTGTCTCGGCTCCAGTACATGGCCGCCGGGTGAGGACTGCCCATGACCATGTTAGCCATGGCTCTGAGATCCGAGTTCCAGTGCTCAATAGGCCCCAACGCGGTGGAAGCCCAGTCGACGTTACGAGCAAAGCGAATGTGGTCGCTGAGGTCTTCGGTGATTTGAATGCGTGTCCAGTCGAAAGAGGGCTTCATCATGTTGGTCTGGAACACCTGCTGAGTAAACTCGTCCGTGTGATGCCTCCCGCCATCGTCCGCCATTATGCAATCCTCGCCCATGGTTGTGTCATTCATATCGTGGGTATCCGAGACCGCATCACCAAAATAGTCCGGCTCCTCTTCTATTTGCAAAATTGTCGGCTGCGGAGAGGGACCTTTGTGCCGTTGTTCAAGGACGGCCGACTCTTCAGCTAGCGGGGCTGGTGAGTCGGGAGCGGTTGACACAGCGCTCATGTTTCCGCTCACGAATCGATAGCGTTTGCGCAAGGTTGAGCAAGTCCACGTGATCCCTCCATAGTTGTGAGATGGAAGGCATACATCCAACGACTCCTGGTTTTTTACGAAGCTCATGGCCCACGCTTTGAAATGGGTATACTCAGAATTCTTCACGGCCTCTTCCCCCTCTACTGACAGCAACTCCAAAACACCAACCGAGGCCCTGAGGGCCGCGTTAGCATACAGCAAGTGGAGTGCCGTCTTTTGGTTGTTGACGGGATTCGCCAGGTCTATAATGAAGGTTGGGCGCTCATCCTGCTCGAGGAGCTCGACGACACCAATATTCCTCAACTCTGCGATGCCTGGACCTGTGGACTGGCTAATTGGGCTCCGCGACGAGGTCAAGGTGGCTTCCGCAGAGGAAGACAAGCTGCTGCTCCCGGGAGTGCTACCAGACCTGGCAGCGCCACGAGCGTGGACGGTGCCGCGCGCCAGGCGGACGGTGTGGACTCCATCGTTCTCCTCCCTCAGACGGGCCAGCAGGACAGCGGCAGCGTCGGAGGGAGGTAGAGGGTTCGGGCGAGTGGGCATGGGTCGACGGTTGTTGGAGCGGGAGAAGAACAGAGGGGACGTGACCCCTTGGTTTCGGGCAGCCAGTATTGCCGCGGCGGTGGGAGGCCTAGGTAAGTCTATAGTCCTCGGGGGAGCTAGACGGCGCGGCTTCTTCAGCGGGGAAGGTTGTGTGTCGATCTGATGAGTCTCTTCATCCGACAGACGTTTCGCTTGCAAGGGTGCTGGCCTCGTCAGGCGCGGACGGGAGGGTTCCTCGGTGGGTGAGTATGTGGTGGGAGAGGTCGGATCGGAGGTGGGCGTGAGGAGAGACTTTGAGACGTTGTCAAAGGGATTTTCGCAAGTTGTAGCGCTATACGTCAAACCATACCGACTAATGTCGGGTGTTGTCCATTGTCCCTCGGGGCTGAAGACGTTTGTGGTGGGAGGCGGCGAGGCGGGCAGATAGCGAGGGTTGCTGGACTGAGAACCCGAACCCGGGCCCTGGATAGGATTGACGGACTCGGCAGCGCGGGACGCAAAGGCAGGGCTCTCGGGTGTCGCAGCGGCAGTATTGGAGGTCTTCGCAGCCGGGGTAGCGAAGGGATATGAGTTCGGTGTCTTCGTTTTCGCGGTCTTGGTGTTGTTGGCGGTGATGTTCTTGGAAGGATTCGCGGTGTATCCTTTGCTGGTGTAATGAGGTCGGATCGTCGGGGAGGACTGTGGCAGGTAGTGGATGGCGGGTTGTGGAAAAGAGTCGTCGCCCTTCGGCATGAATGCGCAAGAGAGAGGGCAAAGATAGTAGGGCCCAGAAAGTCGGACCGGTCTGGAAATTTTCGTCTCGTGGCTACTCTAAGTGTATGGTTCTCTTCCCCTGCCGAAACTAAAATGATCGTCTTAGCGACAGCGGAGACGGAAGGTGAAGCAAAGTAGCAGCAGCGGCAGCAACAACAACAACAGGCGAGGCAAGGCAAAGGCAAGGTCAGCGCAGAGGACTGAAAGACAAAGGGCACGGACGGAAAGGACGGGCACAGGCGCAGCACCGAATGGGCGGAATGGGCGGGCGCGGGCAGGTGAGCACGGGCAACGCACCATGGGAAGAGGTAAGGTACGGTACGAATAAGGCAGTGGAGGGCAGGGTGGTGCTGGCCAGGTGGTAAGGTACCTTAAGGTAAGGTAAGGGTGGAGGTGGGGAGGAGTATCTGAGGTGCTTGCCCTGCAGCAGTGACCAGAGGGCGGCGACGAGCAGGAAGAAGAGGAGATTGTGGTGGTTCGAGTTGGCGGTGGTAGCGTGCAAGTGGTCAACCTCAGGTCAGGCCCCTCAAGGAACCTTGCCCATCTCAGATACCTCACCTAGCGTGGTAGTGGGTGCAGGTGTAAGAGGTAGTACCTTAAGGTAAGGGTAAGGGTAAGGCAGGTAGGTGAAGGTGAGAAACGCTGTAGCGGGTAAGGTGTAGAGTAGAGAGCGGGCAGCGGGTGAAAGGCGCCTGCATCACAGGCCTGGTACCCGGCTCTTTCTTTCTTGTGCTGTCCCGTCTGTCGTTGGCGACGTCGTCGTCGTCGGCGAAGAGCGGAGTGCGACAACGACAACGACGGGCGACGATGTATTGGGGGAGACGGAGACAGAGACAGAGACCGGGGCCACCTACTGAGAAGAAAGGGAAAGGCCTGCAGCGGAAGAGACTGGACGGACTGGACCCGACTCCGACCTGGACCTGACCAGGACAGGCAGGGCACAATGGGCTGGAGGAGGCTTGGACGAGGGGGCACTTTCCCAGTATGACCGGGGGTGGATAGGTGCAGCGGTGCAGCGGACGGGGGGTGGATGTCGTATCGACTGGGCTGGACTCGGGGCCTTCTCTTCTTTTTTTTGTCCCTTCCCTCCCCTTGAAGTGCACTTTGCTCTCACCTCCGACAGGGGAAGCCCAGGAGCTGAGGAAAGGTTTGCGGAAGGAGCCGCAGTTCGCAGCAGCCAGTCGTGGCAGTGGAAGTGGCAAGAAACGTTGAAAGGAAAGGAAAGAAAGCAATAACGACGGACGAGACAGAGGAGAGACGAGGAGACGAGGAGACGAAGAGACGAGGAAACGGAGCAGCAATTACCAGGATAAGGATGCGTCAACTTAGTCCAATCCAGTCTGTCGGTCTTGGGGTCAACACCACACACGGAGTGCGGTGGACGACTTTGCGTACGCGGTGGGTGAGATGCGATACAATGCGCCGCCGAGGCTGCTCTGCTAAAAGGGCTCTTGGAAGGGTGACCAGTCGGTAATTGCTGGTGTCGTCGGTATTGGTGCTGGCTGGCGCAAGGTGCGTCGAGAGTCGTGTGCGGTGCGTGTGCGTGTGAGGTGGCTGCGATGCGTGAGGTGCTGCTGCTGCTGCTGCCGCTGCTGTGCCGTGCGGCCGTGCTGGTGTGAGCCCTGTGCTTCCGAGTACCCTCGTCCTAGGTCTGTCTTCTCAACAACGGGATAAGTGACGGGCGACTGGTGACTGGCGACTGAGCAGAATGGCGGCGGGCAAGGACAAGACGGGATAGGGGTGTATCGCAATTGTCGTGGACCGGTGGGTTAGATGTACGTGGATCGGGGAAGAGAAATCGAGGGGCACTATGGGAAATCGGTATCTCGATGTTGGAGAGGGAGGACAAGGCAAGGGAACGTCGTATTAGCTCTGCTTCGGGTTTGGCTGTTTTTGTTGCGTCTGGACTGCGGCTGGTCTGGTCTGGTCTGGTCTGCACTGCGGCGCGTTGGTGGCCCTCTGGTCGGTGTCTGCTCAGGTAATCTCTCTCCTCAGAGGCTAACGAAAGGGACTAAGGCAATGCGAGGCAAGGTAGGTCGGAGGAAGCAGAGGACAGGACGGGATGTGTTGGGATGGGACGAGAACGAAGAGGAGGAGGAGGAGCGAGGAGGGCAAGGTCTAGGGTGTGATTGAGTACGGAGAGAGAGTGCCGCACTCGAATGCCTTAAGGTCCAGTCCAAACCCGCGAGATATGCGACCGCGTGTGTTGGGTAAAGCAGGTCGACCGAGTGTGTCTGTGTTTGTATGCATGTGTAACTACTAGGTCAGTAGGTAGGCAGGTAGGCAGGTCTAGCAGAGAGACGACAAGAAAAGGTAGGAGAGACGTAGATGTAGACAGGAGTCAATATTCAAACAGTCATCATCGCATAACAGAATGGGAAGAAAACATTGATTACATGGCAGGTGCAGTGCAGGTGGACAACAGCTACCTGCTATGTCATAGGTAGTATGGCATGGCATGGCATGGCATGGACGCTACGAACAGGAAAGACCCTTCGGCCAAATCCATCCGCGTCCTTTCTTCCTTCCCTCCCGGCGTCGCCATATTCTTGCTTTTTCTTCCTGCTTGGTTTCCGTTACTCACAACCTTGGACCAATCTATCCTCCCCCACAACGAGTGAGGTAAAAGCCAAGCACGACGAGTCCTTACCCCTTCTCGCACTAGGTAGCCCTGCCGACAATGGGCGGCGCTATCGACCCTCGACGGAAACATCGACAAGAATGACGGTCCTCGCTGTTTTGATAACTAGCGGCAACGGAACTGTGGTTGCGCCAGACAAAAACCAGAGGACTTTTGTGGCACTTGGAACGGCGCGCGTGTTTGAGTCCACCCTATTCCCTATTCCCGACCTGCTTACGACCAGTTACGGCCAGTGTGTCTTCTAACTTCTGCCCCCTCCTCGGCTTCAGGTACCGCAGCTACTCTACCTACCGTAGCCGTACCGATACCGACCAATGCTGGGCTTGCGACGGGTCCCGCGCCGCGGTCGAGGGTGAGGTGGGATTCGGGTTCACCACGAACTGGGACTGGGACCGGGGTTGAGAGGAGGCACAGCTGGCAGACGGCAGCGTGGCATTTTGGACCCAGGTCTAGATTCTTGTCGCGACTCGCCCTTTTCCCAGGATTACGACCTGTGCTTTGTTCGGTACGAGTACCATGCGCACACACACAACACACAGCACACATCCACACGGCGACTGCTTTGGTAATTCAGCAGCAGCGCGAATCTGCACAATGCAACGGGGGACCATGCCGGTGCTTCTCTCTCCTCTCATGTCGTCTTCTTCTCGTTATTAGGGGATTCCTGTTGCTGGGCTGTCTGCTGTGCAACAACATGCAAGTCGTGTTCCACAGGTCCCTTCCAGACTCCTGCTGATCTTTTCCAGCGAGCCAATGACACTGCTTCGGAGTCAAGTCCCTGGAGGAACACCACCAGCAGCGACTGCTCTGGCCTCCGGTCCCCATGACTGCCCCACTCACAGCGCCAAGCTCAGCCGTTCTGTCCAGTCAGGGCCGCAGCTTGGCCCTGCAGGTGGGTCCCATCTTTTGCTTCACGCAGTGCGCGACTCCGGGCGACTAGCAGCAGCAGCAACAGCATCAACAGACGACGGCTGACAATTTGATGCCACGCGGAAACTATAATTGCCGCCAACTTCAAACCAAGTGTGACGGGATGCTAGGAGAAAGTCATGGCAAGCCGCGGGATCCAGCTCGTCGGGGTCCTTATGTCAGAACTTGTTCATCGTGCATCCGCCTCCAACCCAGCAGCCTGGACACCAAGCCTGTGGTCGTGGCATACCTGCGCCGTACACTCAAACCAGATGCGCGCTGCCTCGAAAGTACAAAGCTGAGGGCAGCCCCCCTTCTACCGAAAAGGGTGGGTAAGCAAAGACTTTGGCCCATGTCTCTGTCTGCAGCAGCCAAGCTGCCCAGCTCATTAAGGGCTTTCATGCGTCGCGCGTTCGATGCGCTCGGCAACAGAGATTTCCCACGTCACACGCCCTGTCCTCCCGCAGTCACTCGGCCGTGTGCGTCCAAAAATTGTGGCATGCGACATTGACATGGTGGTGGCTGTATCAGTCAGTCAGTAGGTAGTGAACCCTTGCATGAGAGACGAGGAAAAAGGGAGGAAGCGAGCAGATCGCTGGGGAGGGGGCGTTTGAGGGGGGTAACTGTCCGAGGACCGAAACGTGGGGAATGGAAAGGGAAGATGGGGGGGACTTTTCAACAAGCTTCGAGCAACATGGGATTTTCGTCCAGGGGATTGGAGAGACGGGATGGAAACCGCTCCACCATGAAGCAACTCGGCTTTTGCCCTTAGTCCTGATGATCGCTGCCTCGCTTGGTAACGAGACGAGGGATGAGGCGAAACATGGGATGCTCTACTATTTGCACATCGAGAACTGCGCGCGCACTGCTGCCGTTGCCCGCGACAGTGAATATCTCACCGTCCAGATGGGAAACAGCCGGCAGCCACAGCAAAGCCACCATGCCGATTTGCCATGGTGATATCAACGCTACGTTGTATGTACATAAGGTTTTGCTTCTCAGACAATGACAGAAAATGACGATGGTACATGTCACAAGAGACCGGGGGGGAGAGAGAGAGAGAGTCACCATGTTGAGATCTAGCGCTCAACAGGTACGTTGTGCTATTGTGATTTGGTATCTCTCATTTCTTCTCATGGCTTAGTTCCTATAGGCTCGCGCTCACATGATATCGATCTGACTTGTCCTTTGCATGCAACGGTCCGACGTCCCCTCCCGAGTGTCTCGTTCTCACACTCTCTCTCCATGACCAGGAATGCAATCCTGGACGAAACGAACCTCTTTTGAGACACTGGGAAACGAAACGGGAACCCATGAGAGAAACAGAGCAAGAGGGAGAGAGAGAGAGAGAGAGAGAGAGAAAAGCAACGACTGCGCGAGCCATGGGTGGACGGCCACCATGGTGTCTTTGCCTCGGCACGCCCCGTGA